TGAGACTACAATTCCCATCATCCCTGACCACTGGTCCTTTTAGCTAGGGATGATGGGAGTTGTAGTCCCAAAACATCTGGAGGGCCGAGTTTGCCTAGGCCTGATCTAATCCAACCCCCTTCAATGTAGGAATCACCACTAAAGAATCCTTCACAGATGTCCATCCAAACTCTGCTTAAAAACCTCCAATGAAGGAGGGTCTACCACCTTCTGAAATAGTGCTTTCCACTGCTCTTACCATAAAGTTCTTCATAATGTTTAGAAGTAATCACCTTTCTTCCCATTTGAATCCATTGTTTCAGGTCCCAGCCTCTGGAGCAGCAGAAAACAAGCTTGCTCCATTGTCCACATGACAGCTCTTCAGATATTTTAAGGTGGCTATCCTATCACCTCTTAGTCTTCTCTTCTCCAGGCTAAACATACCCAACGCCCTCAACTGTTCCACATAAGGCTTGGTTTTCAGGCTATCCTTTCAAACTCTGCCCATCTGGTTACTCGGTGCAACATCAGGGTGGACTTGATGGTCAGGGAGGGGGAGTTGCTGTGGTTTGTAGAAATTCTCTCTCTCTCTCTCTGGTTGAGGGAGGGTCTAGAGTAGCGGTTCTCAACCTGCGGGTCCCCAGATGTTGTTGGACTACAAATCCCATCATCCCTGAGCTCTGGCCTTGCTAGCTAGGGGTGGTGGGAGTTGTAGTTCAACAACATCTGGGGACCCCCAGGTTGAGAAAGGCTGGTCTAGAGTGTGTGTTCCTGTCAATAGGCAATTGGGACAGATTAGGGATTCTGTTACTTTACCACCCACCTCACTGCCCAGCAGTCTCCCTGAACAGTCTCCCTGAGAACTCCCAGACTGCTGTTTTGGGGAGCCTTCAACATCCATGCCAAGGCAACTGGCTCTGAGGTGGCTCATGAGGACCATGGGGGCTGCCATGAGGACCATGGGGTTATCCAACACATATGGCAGGCCACATTCTGGACCTTGTTTTCTCAACTGGGCAGGAAGAGGGGATATCTGAAAATGGGGGATATTGACATCATATTTCTGCATCAGTTTCTGATAAAGAGTCAAGTCAAGTCCTCGCAAATTCATCAGCATTTTAGTGCGGATTTTTTTCCTAATAGACCCAATTTTCTTATGTAATTTTTCTAAGTATACACAGTTTTGCAAGCAACTTCCTGTAACAGAATGAATTTCTGAATGTCATTTTCACTTATCTGTGCATTTTTAAGCACACTTCTCTGTGATACATATACATTTTTGGTACACATCGCTCTGATTGCAGAGCAGCAAAGCAAAATCTGGAGAAGTGCGAATTTGCAAAGAGAATCATGTTTTTTGGTTTGTGCATTGTTTCTGGAACAGCGGATAAGCTTCGCTTCACTTCAAAATGTGAAGCAAAACAAATCTCTCTCCACCCCCAATCTCTAGCAAGCTACAAGGTGTGCTTTGGACTGAACACACATGGCTTTCGAGAGAATGGAATCTGCACAAGCGACCAGGTCTCAAGACTCAGTCAGAGGTGATGGGGAGACTTGACTAAAGTGGAGGGCAAGAGGTCAGATCCTGGCATCCCAGTGTGGGGACGAAGCCAGAGAAATGCCCAAGTGGAATCAGGGGGAGTAGAAAGAGGAGGAGGAGGGTGGAGAAGCAGTGGCAGGAGGTGTGCAGCTGAGAGGGAGGGACGGAGCCGACATCACTGGCTGAGGATCAGACGGAGCCACGATGTGGCAGCGAAGGTCTGCAGCAACCAGGCAGGATCCTCTCTCTTGCCTGTGTGGAGCTGAGGCACCAGGCGAGGTGAATGGAAATCTGTGAGCCCAGGAGAAGAGGCAGCAGTTTGGTGCATGAGAATCAGGTAGGCTGGAGCTGAAAAACTTGCACAAAGACCTAAAGTGGTCAGACGCAAAAGCAGGAGGGACGAGTCTGCGGATGTGGCCCCTTTCTGTGTCTGCTCAGAGAGGTTTTAATGCAAATGCCACTTGCATTTATTACCAAGACTAAGGCTAAGCAGTCCCTGGTGGTCATTGCTAAGTGGATGTATTTAATGCGCTTGCGAATTTTCTCTTTCAACACATGGTAAACAGTTGTGCACTGCATTGTTACGCTTGTGTTAAGGTTCTTTTGCATAATTATATATTGTGTTATGTTATGGATTTAGAAATAAAATGTAAGTGGGGCAAAATTAGGTGGCTGCTGTTGCTGCTGTTACCAGAATCTAGTGGCACACTGACTTTCTGATAGTCTCTTTGCTCTCAGGTGCGGGCAGTGCCAGCAGTCAAGAGTGTATTGTAATCAAGCAGTCTTGTAGTCAAGCAGTATTGTAGACCAGCTGTCAAGAGTGTGAATTGTACCAGCTACAAATGTGGCTGTAACACCCTGAGAATCTTGACTGAGGATGGAGTTACACCTTGTACACCTTGTTAATATCTCATCTGTTCTTACATGAAGTTGCATTTAAAGGAAATACTGTTTTATTGTATTGTATCATTCATTCATTTTATTTCTTATTCGCCCTTCACCATTAAAGTCCCGGGGAGGGGGGGAGAGGCAATTTAAAAACACAATATTAAAAACGGTTTCAAATTTTCCTCACTCTGGGAGTGTGTAAACAACCAACAGTGGGTTATTGAAATAAGAAATAAGCACAAAAAATCTTCTGCCGTGCCAAAGTTGTCATAATAGAGCACGGGATGCTGCCTTATACTGAGTCAGACCCACCGGTCCATTTAGCTCAGTATTGTCTACACTGACTAGCAGCAGATCTCCAGGGTTTTAGGTTTTAGGAGAAGTCACACCTGGAGATTCTGGGAATTGAACTTGGGACCTCCTGCATGCATAGCAGGTATTCTGTGGACTTTCTAAATGAGATATCTTCCACTCTAGTTTGCAGAAGAGATAGTAAGAGGGAGCAGTTAGAAGAGGGCTGTGCCTCCTCCTCCCACTCTAAATATGCAAAGAAATTAAGGAGGTGAAGTGTCATATGGAGACCTGTGTGTGTCTGTGTGTGTGTGGCAGGGGAGACTCATCTGCATGTTTGTGTTTTTGTTTTTTTTAAATGATATTTATTAAAGTTTCAAAGAAAAAATTACATAGATAAAAAGAAAAGAAAAAGAAATAAAAAGAAAAAAATACAAAATACAGAAAAAAGATAGAAAACACTTAAAAAAAAACAACACATCGATCTTTCCATAACTTACATTTCATTTCCTTACTTCCCTGACTTACTCACACCTCCCTTTTTTGTATTCCAGTTCTATTAGTTAATTCAGCAATTCTTTTCCCTCTTTGTTTTTGTCTTAATCCCTTAACTTAACATATTATAACTTTAGATTCTCATCTGTTAACAATCCATTTGTACATACACCTTTATAACATGGCTGCTAAGACCACTTAATTTCATTCTGACATCATTCTAACATTCATTAATTTTGCAATATTTCTGTAAATAGTCTTTAAATTTCTTCCAATCTTCTTCCACCGACTCTTCTCCCTGGTCTCGGATTCTGCCAGTCATTTCCACCAGTTCCATATAGTCCATCACCTTCATCTGTCATTCTTCCAGAGTGGGTAAATCTTGTGTCTTCCAATACTTTGCAATCATCTGCATGTTTGTGTTAAAGACACAGAAGTAGGTAAGTTGTGTTTGTTTGTTTGTGGTTTTTTCCTAACCCACCCCAGTTCTGGGTTGAGGCAGGAGAAGCCAGGATGCTCATCATCACCCCAAGGCTTCAGGATTTAACCTCCTTCCATCAGGCCTGTAAGACAGAGCGATTCCGCCTGGCCTTTAATTTGAATTCAGCCTGATCTTTTATTTCCCTTCTCTTCCTTCCCCCTCCCCTTTTATGAAGGTCACCCGCTCTGAGACCCCACAGCTAATTCTCCCCTGGTCTCCTTACTGGCCCAAGTAGGACCAATTCAACCAGCTAGCGCTGGGGATTATCTAACTGATTTTTGAATTTTATTGTTATTCATGTTTTTATACTGTATTTTATGCTGCTTTTATAATGAAGTGTTTTAAAGTGTTTTAAATTTGTTGTTAGCTGCCCTGAACCTGGTTTTTGAACCAGGAAGGGCGGAGTATAAATAAAAAATTATTATTATTTATTATAAGGCATTTTTTTCAACGTCACAGCCAGTGCTTGATATTTTAAAAACGAGAGGCATGGTGGTGGTGGGAAGCTTATTTTCCTGGAAGTGTCCCCTTCTGACTGGCAGACTCAGAGATGAAGAAAGATACTTTGCAAATGCCCTAAGCAGTGAGGAATCCCAGCTGAGGTTAAGCCGTAAATGTTGATGCGTGTCCTCAGTAGAATCTTGGCATAACTCTCCATTGCTTTCTGTAGAATGGACCCAAGTGATTCTTCTGGAAATGGAATGTGACTGGGATGATGGCTTCCTGAAAAATTGCTATTTATTAGATTTTTATTCTTTCTGTCTCCCAGGGTGGCATATATTGTGCCCCCCTACCATTTTACCTTCACAACAGTCCAGTGAGGTAGACAGGGCTGAAAGAACGAGTCTTACAAAAGCTCACTCAGCAAGCTCAGTGACTGAGCACAGAAAAGGATACCTTCTAACCTGGAAGCTCTTCATCCTGAAGATATACACAATTAAGCTTACCAATGCAGACATTTATATTAGATAAAATCCATAGTTCTAAATGAATCTGGACCCCTTTCCTGGATGATTTTGCTTTTAAGCCATGGGGAAAGAAACAAATCTCAACCACATACACACACACTTTGTCAACATTTGCCTGCTTTTGAGGTTTATAAGATGTCCATGGGATACATATAATTAAGTCAAGAAGTGTGAACTGGACTGGAAAAGATATTGGCAATGCGTGCCTTAATGGCGATGAAACACCAGTGCAGTAGCAGGCAGAGATCTGTTTCATCATAATCCCAGAGAGCTGCTGCCAGTCAGTGGGGCCACTACTGAGCTAGATGGAACAAGGATTTGACTCAGTATGAGGCCGCTTCCTGTGTTTTGCTCAAGAGCCCTAGCTCAGTGAGAGAGCATCTGCTTTGCATGCAGAAGGTCCCAGATTCATTCCCTGACATCTCCAAGTAGAGCTGCTGCCGGTCTGTGTAGGCAATACTAAGCTAGATAGACTCTCCAAGTAGAGCTGCTGCCAGTCTGTGTAGGCAATACTAAGCTAGATAGACTCACTATAAAGCAGCTTCTTATGTTCTTCCATTGCCTGGCCTATGGTCCTGGTATTAAAATTGTCCTCTCTTATTTATTTTTTATTTTATCACAATACTGGAGAAGATGGTGACGAGGCGGCTGTGGGCCTCCTAAATCTGTTGTCCAGAGCTAACTGTTGCTAGGCAACCTGAGGCACCTTTCCCCCCATCTTTCCATTTCACCACCTGAGGCAAAATGAGAAAGTGCCGCCATGTCACCAAAGCCTCTCTGACCTCCCTTACCTGTGGTGGCGGATCTCACTGGGAACCTGCCCTACTGCCAGTGGCTGAGGCTGCAGGGTGGGCCTGCAGGGGTGGCCCCTCTTCAGCTTCTGCCACCTGAAGCAGCTGCTTCACCGTGCCTCATGGGCAGCCCGGCCCTGTATCAATGGACTGCGGCTATGAATAGCTATTAACCACATTGGCTAAGCAGAGACAGCACCATAGTGCTCAGATCCTGCTTGTGGGCTTCCCACAGCCATTGTGGGAAATGAATGCTGGACTAGATGGGCACTGGCCTGATCCAGCAGCCAGGCTCCTCCAATGTTCTTCGCGGTTTCTGCTCTTCCTGTTCTCTCTTTTTTAAACCAGACTTGGGCCGGAGAGCCCCTTCACACACAAGACTGTCCTTTGTAAGGTCAGACACCCAGCCCCTCTGCCTAAAATCCACCCACTTTCAACAACGACAGCCTAATTTAGAGTTATTGACCACATTCACATCATCCCACTTTAAACAGTCATGATTTCTTCCCCCAAAGGATTATGGGAGCTGCTGTTTGTTAGGAGAACCCCTATCCCCCCTAAGCTACAATCCCCAATAAGTCCCTCTTCATAGGGAACTCTGGGAATTGTAGCTCTGTGAGGGGAATAGGGATCCCCTAACAATTACCAGCATGTTTAACATACTACACTTCCCAGAATTCCTTGGGCAGAAGCAATGACTCACAGTGCTTTTTCAATGTATAGTGTGAATGTGACCTTAGCTGAATACCACCTTCTGCCTTTCTGGTCCTTCAAATGGAGGGTAGTCCTTCAATCAGAGGATTGTCCTCTGTAAAGTAGGTCCCATGGCCCCCCTCTGGCCGAGTGTGGATTTGAACCTGAGCCCACCTCAACATCCTAGCTAAAGCATCAAACTGTGTCCAAAACTGTTAATTTAGAGCTGTGTTGCAAGAGAGACTGGCGATTATAACTCTCCTTTCTCTGTGCAAGGCTCATGACTGTTGATTTAGCAAAACAAAATCGAAAAGCCAGGGGGGGTGTGGGAGAGGGACGGACAGACGTCAGAGTCATATATTTCTCTAGCGTAATAAAACCGATTTTCTGGGCAAGTGTGTTGATTCGCCCCTTGAATCTTATTGCTGCACTGGGAACAGCTCTGCCCAGCTGTAGTCCATCATCTTCGCACAGAATGTGAGTGAAGTAATACCAGTATTAAATTTACAGCGACTAGAGATGTAGTAGCAAATATCAGGCTTGTATTTCCCTCCCCTTCCACGCATAATTCAACACTGAGTATTTGTTTCCCATTGCCAAATATTTAGATTAAAAACCTTTCTTGGGAAAAGCCTAAGACACTTTGACTGACACTGAGTAATGAGAGATCTGCAGTTTGGGAATTGCTCATTTTCAAGGCAAATTTTTACCACTCACAGATTAAATCTAGGCTTCATTCAGCAACTCTCGGGCTGGGGTTCAACAGATCAAGGGCTCCTGTGCTGTGGTGTAAGGATGAAATAGTTCCCCTTCTTCTCCTTCTCCTTCTTCTTACATTTATATACCATCTATATAACCACAGAGCCTAGGACTTGCTGATCAGAAGGTCGGCAGTTCGAATCCCCATGACGGGGTGAGCTCCCGTTGCTCGGTCCCTGCTCCTGCCAACCTAGCAGTTCGAAAGCACGTCAGAGTGGAAGTAGATAAATAGGTACCGCTCTGGCAGGAAGGTAAACGGCGTTTCCGTGCACTGCTCTGGTTCGCCAGAAGCGGCTTAGTCATGCTGGCCACATGACCCAGAAGCTGTACACCGGCTCCCTCGGCCAATAAAGCGAGATGAGCGCTGCAACCCCAGAGTCGGCCATGACTGGACCTAATGATCACGGGTCCCTTTACCTTTACCTTACCTCCCAAGAACCTCAAGGTGGGGTACATGGTTCTCCTCCCCCATTTCATCCTCACAACAACCCTGTGAAGTAGGTTAGGCTAAGAGATGGTGACTGGCCCAAGCACACCCAATGGCTGGGTGGGGATTTAAACCCTACTCTCCCATGTCCTGGTCCAACACTCTAACCATTACACCACACTGTCTCTTTGCATGCAGAAGGTCCCAGGTTGGAAATGTCTCCTTCTTGAAACCTTGGAAAGCCACTGCCAGTCAATGGAGACAGGACAGAGGTAGATGGACCAGTGGTCTAATGTGGAACAAGGCAGTTTCCTATGTTCCTATGATGGGAGAGAAATTCGATTTTGTTTTGAGAAACTCCCTAATTTTCACTTCCCAAATGAATACATTAGCATGATTAGCTGAAACAAACCGATTCGTCAAAATTTATATTTCTCCGACTTTTGCTGTGTTTGCCAAAATACATGTATTGGGGGCAATATATATATATAGCAATATATATAGCAAAACAAAAAAAAATTAAAATGAATTATATCGGGTAAGATTGCTTTCAAAAATGCATTTACTACTCAAAACTGCACACAGAAAAATGTTTATTTTCGGGGGGAAATTGCACTAAAACGCTAATGAATTTTCGCAAGATTGTTTTTTTTTAAAAAAATTGCCTTGTTGCAGAAATATGGAACCCTGAATTTAAGACTGGATAAAGGAGAAGCTTCCCAGAGATTTCTGGTTGGCCGCTCTTGTAAAAAGGGAGCCAGAGCATATGGACTTTTCATCCAATATATCAAGGCTCTTCTTCTGGGTTCTTTTGGGTTCAAAAGCCAGATTTCCCCTTGGTGCAAGATTTGGATTATTTGGATTATGATTTCATATACAGCTTCCATTGCAAGACCCTCACCGTCTCTTTCTCCCACCATTCTCCCACAGATTAAAAATAATACGAATAATGACCGAACAGGAAGACTTTGCCAGCTTGGCTGGACACTGGAACGCCTCTGATGCCCACCAGTTCAGCCTGGCCAGTGTCATCGTCCCTGTCGTCTTCTCCTTGATCTTTCTTCTGGGCACCATCGGCAACAGCCTAGTCCTGGCCGTGCTGCTGCGGAACGGGCAGGTGGGGCACAACAGCACCAACCTCTTCATCCTCAACCTCAGCCTGGCAGACTTCTTCTTCATCATCTGCTGCGTGCCTTTCCAGGCTACCATCTACTCCCTGGAGGGCTGGGTCTTTGGGTCGTTCATGTGCAAGGCTGTCCACTTCTTCATCTACCTTACTATGTATGCCAGCAGTTTCACCCTGGCGGCCGTCTCTGTAGACAGGTAATGGAGACCCCTGCACTAAAAAATAATAATAGGAGATCCCGATTCATCTAGTCCAACTCCCTGCAGTGCAGGGATTTTTTGCACGGCGTGGGGCTCAAACCCACAACCCTGAGATTAAGAGTGTCATGCTCCACCAACTGAGCATTTATATCCCACCTTTTGCTCCAAGGAGATCAAGGTGGCTTACATGGTTTGCCCTGTTCCTCATTTAACCCCCATGGCAACTCTGCAAAGTGGGTTAGGTTGAGAAGCAGTGACTAGCCCAAGAGAGCCCCAGTGAGTTTCATGGTTGAGCAGGACTTTAAACCGTGGTGTCTCCCAGGTCCTGGTCTGACACGTGGGTGGCACTGTGGTCTAAACCACTGAGCCTCTTGGGCTTGCTGATCAGTAGGTCAGCGGTTCAAATCCCCCCAACGGGGTGAGCTCCCGTTGCTCTGTCCCAGCTCCTGCCCAACCTAGCAGTTTGAAAGCACACCAGTGCAAGTAGACAAATAGGTACCGCTGTGGCGGGAAGGTAAATGGCGTTTCCATGCACTCTGGTTTCCGTCACGGTGTCCCGATGTGCCAGAAGCCGTTTAGTCGTGCTGGCCACATGACCCGGAAAGAGGTCTGAAAGCGAGATGAGCGCAACAACCCCATAGTCGCCTTTGACTGGACTTAACTGTCCAGGAGTCCTTTACCTTTTTTCAGTCTGACACTCTAACCCTAGACCACACTGTCTTGCTGCTTGATGCTGGGCGGTGGTGGTGAGGCTGAGCTAAAATAAGAACTTTGCACAAATTCAGATCTCTCCTCTACCCCCGCCCCCACCCTATTTCAGTCCCTGAAATTTCAGTCCCTAATTTATAAAGTTCAGTATTGGAGGAATTATTAGTAGTATTATTAAAAACATAGTACAATATGATAATAAAATCAACTCTGCTTTTGTCAGATTTTTCTATAAATTATGAGTAACTGAAGCATAAATGTATCCCCCCCTTTGTCTCTTTGTAACCTTGCAGAGCAGAACCATCAAAACAGCTTGTAGTTTAAATCAAAATGAACTATTAAACTCTTCTCATAATGTTGTCACCAAAGTTACTCAGAAAAGACTCACTGAAATTGGATCCATTAATGGGCTTACTCTGAGTAGAATTTGTTGCACACAACCCATACATTTGCATGTGGTTTTGCAAATATATATGCTATTTTGCCTATGTTGTCTCTTTAAATTTATGTTTATAATCTGATTATTAATAATTTAACTAAATACGCTACATGTATAAATAAACAGAAACAACAACAACAACAATAAATTAGTAAAACTTGCTTTGCCACGTTCGATATTTTACTCCCAATTCAGTAAAAATTTGAGTAACCCACAATGCAGCCTGCAGGAGGGGTCCTATTGCTGGAACCCAGGGGTCCCTGGCCTTGTTTCCCCCTCCTCTTTGTCCTCACTACCCGCCTGTCTTCCCTCCTCAAATGTGCAAACATGGGATTGCAAACATAATGCAGTTGTTATACAGTATTTAGTGTTTTATTTTGTGCAACCATTTGAAATAAAAGGAATAAAGCTTGGAGCATGTTTGGACAATGTGCATTTAGGGGCTTGCTGTTTTGCATTGGCTTACAATGCCTTCGTAAGGGACGCGGGTGGTGCTGTGGGTTAAACCACAGAGCCCAGGACTTGCCGATCAGAAGGTCGGCAGTTTGAATTCCCGTGACGGGGTGAGCTCCCGTTGCTCAGTCCCTGCTCCTGCCAACCTAGCAGTTCGAAAGCATGTCAAAGTACAAGTAGATAAATAGGTACCGCTCTGGCAGGAAGGTAAACGGTGCGCTGCTCTGGTTCTCCAGATGCTGGCCACATGACCCGGAAGCTGTATGCCAGCTCCCTTGACCAGTAAAACGAGATGAGCACCGCAACCCCAGAGTTGGCTACAACTGGACCTAATGGACAGGGCTCCCTTTACCTTTTACAATGCCTTCATCCAGTACACCCTACAAACCCCCAGGCCCCACATATTTTGGCTCAATCCCCTGACTCTCTGAACTTACAGACCTTCCCTGGTCTGCCTGGCAGTTCCTCTTACTCATCTCGAGACGTGATATGTGGCCAACCCGTGCTCTTGGCTGTCATGTCAATCTGACGCCTTTCCACAGCTGTCAAAATAAACTCTCTCTCTTTCCCCACCCCCGTCCCGGTTTTCTACCCTGGAGGAGAAACAGATGGTCTGTATCAGTCGCTTGTCGTTTCTGCTCCCTGGGGTGCAACACCCCCTTCTTTCCCTTCTCCCTCTTCCTCCCCCCACCCTCTGCCTACCAGGGGAGAAGAAGCAGATTGCTCTTGCCAGACTTCCGAACAGAGTCCTTGCAGAAGGCATACGGACTTAGATTGAGGGCCACATAAAATTAGGCTGATCTTAGGGTGTGTGAGTGTTGGGTGCAAAGGAGGAACCAGCTGGGGCACCCCCAAGGGGAGAAGGCTCAGCCTGGGGAGTAATGGTGGGACAACAATGAGTGGTCAGAGGGAGAAGATAAATGGTGCAGATAATCCTCAGCAATGCTTAACTCTGTTGACTTTTCTGGCAGATACCTGGCCATCCGATACCCGCTGCGGTCCCGGGAGTTGCGGACGCCCTGCAACGCAGTGGCAGCGATGGCCGCCATTTGGGGCCTCTCCGTGATCTTTTCGGGGCCCTACCTGAGCTACTACGACCTGATTGAATGGGAGGGCAGCTACATCTGTGTGCCAGGATGGGAGGAATGGCGGCGGAAGATCATGGACACCTGCACCTTCACTTTTGGCTACGTCATCCCGGTGCTGATTGTCAGCCTCTCCTACACGCGGACGATTAAATACCTGTGGACGGCGGTGGACCCCCTGGAGGACATGTCCGAGTCTAAGAAGGCCAAGCGCAAAGTGACCAAGATGATCATCATCGTGACTGTCCTCTTCTGCCTCTGCTGGCTGCCCTACCACGTCGTCGTGCTGCGTTACCTCTACGGAGACTTCCCTTTCAACCAGACCACCTACGCCTTCCGGCTCCTCTCCCACTGCATGGCCTATGCCAACTCTTGCCTCAACCCCATTGTCTACGCCCTGGTCTCCAAGCACTTCCGCAAAGGCTTCAAGAAGGTCTTCAGCTGCCTGCTGCGGAAGAAGGCCCGGAACAGGGTCCACGTTGTCCATGCCGCTCATACCGTCCACGGCTTCGAGGCAGGTTCCACAGAAGTCTCGCAGATGAACGAGGACAACAATGGGCAGCTGAATGGATGTGAACTGGATGCAAGGTCTCTTGTGGTCCCCACAGGACCCGGCAGGACCCTCCATATTTCTTAAGCTGAGTTGAACGGCAACTCAGGCAAGTGGAGTGAGATGCTTCAATTCCAGAGGGTGTTCTCCGAGGGAAGAGGATATCTTTAGTGAAGTTCTTTGTTGAACGTCACAATGTTCTTTCTTCTGGGGCTGGACTTCAGGGCCAAAGGCAAAGGTCATAGGAGGACTGAAGGCCTGCTAGTATTTCTGCAGCAGGGTCCCTGCCTCCAGCAGTCTAAGAGTCACCCAATTAGCATGAAACGGGAACTTTTTTGCCAGTGTATGCTCCAAAGTTCATCGCTTCAGTTTCATGAGAAAGGCATGCAAGCTCTGGAACAATGGAAATTCGTAGGGAACACAACTTGAGTCACTCTGAAAGAAGATATTGGAAACATTTGCCCATGTACGTGCACATCTAGCTGAAAGGCAACACATGGAGACCTGCATTGATCATTGCAATATATCCCAAATGATTAATATTGTATAATTATAAGACTATTGCATAATCTTAGAAGGCTGTGTAATCTTATAGGGGTGTCACTGTGAGGGGCGCGGTTGTGACTATCATGAAGGGACCCTACGCTTCTGAATTTGCCACTACACTGCTGCCCACAGGCCAGCCTCAACCCCTCAAATGAGCACCCAAAGGTTCTGGGGGAGGCACTGGCAAAGAGGTCCCACATCAACACTTGGGCCCATTTGGGCAAGTGGGGGCCTACAAGAATTGATGCTAGTCATCACAGCATTTTTTCTTTTTTCTTATTCCAACTTAAAACAAAAACAAAAACATTTTATAGTCAGCAGGGAGGCGAGTGGCATGTACATAGTTACAGGTGCTCATTTCATTTATTTTTACTTTAAGAATCCTTTATGCTTTTACTTCTGCAGACCTCAGGGTTCTGGGTTCCCCCGATCTTGCTCATCCCTCCCTCTTGTTTCTCATTTTGGCTCAATTTCCATTGGTACTCGCCAACTGAGTTGCTTATTAGTGGGAACAACAGCAGCCCCTATCATGTCTATTATTCCCTTTAAAGTCACCATGCATTTTTAAAAAATAAAAAATGGTGTTTTCACACAAAGGCTAGAACACCATTGCCCAGTTAGCAGTCATGATTGAGTGTCTATTAACAAGCTTTTTCGAGCGGAATAAAAATTACAAATGTCCCCCCCGCCTTCTGACTCCATAAAATAATTGTCCTCCCCTGTGGTGTTAATAAGAGCTTTCTCTCTATGCAGATTGAATCCTAATTGGCAGGCAGCAGGGTACACGCCGTGCCCTGTGGCAACAATGGGAGTGGGAGGTGGCTGACTCTGATTGGATTAGGAAGACATTTGCATCCACCTTCAAGTCATCAATCGGGCTGGGAGACCTTGTTGAATCACAGCCTTGTGACAGTGCAAAATCTCTTTCCTTCACATCTTAATATCACAGGGCATAACAGAGAGTGGTGTAATTACCAGTAACACTCGCTTATAATTTCTGGGAGCCTAGAGCAGACCAGGTCATCCCCCCCCCCCCCCGATTAGCTAGCATCACGGCTTTTTAATGTGACTTGGCTCCTACTCCTGGCTGATAAACTATAGCGCACCGCTTGGCTTCATATAAATCAAAAACACAGAGGGTGGGTGGGGGAGAAGCTTGTTATTCAGCATGACTGAAGGGTGCGTGCCACAAGTTATGCAGAACACACTACAGTTTCACTTGAGTACAACCAATTTGCCTCGATACACCCAGTGAGTCACAACGGGCAGAAATGCCGGGTGCTCAGTCCATCCTTGATAGAAGCCTTCGTCAAGCTCGACTTCAGCTGGAGGGAACGAGGGAGACACAACGCAATCGAAATCTGCCTCTATGCTTAAGGATTAAAGGGTGTCTTATCATTTCAATGGTTGGCTGGAAGCCAAGAAGGCACCCTACTCCAGAAGATAAGCAGCAGCAACACAGAAAGAGGAACTACGTTCAGAAAACTGTTTCATAAATCACTTTGGAAATCTAGCTTTACTGAGAGTGGTGGGGAACAAATTCAATTCGGCTTGCACTTAAAGGTGAACCAACCTAATTTGCACTTTCTGAAACAAGACGCAAACCGAAACAACAGCTGTCCTTCAAGATTCGGCTTTCCCAAATTTGGCAATGCATTTCTCTAGCCAATGCGTATACAAATGCATGTACAAGAGTGAAGCCTGCATAGAAATGGGTGTATTGGTGAAAATAACATACAAGAAGCACCACGGGTTAGGGAAAATTTGTGCATTAGGAGAAATTCAAACTAAACTGCTGAAGGGCTTTTCATGAGGACTTTTTTTTTTTTAAAGCAATAATTCATGTTAGGCAGGTTTGTCTTTAAAAGTGAACAGGATTGAACTTCCGGGTCAGCGCCATTGGTGAATGGCGGAGTTCCTCCGACCGGAGGAACGGGCTCCGTGAAAACTGGGTCTTCCCGCCGCGGCGAAGGTGGGGACCCGCTAGAAATCCCAGGCGGAGGAAGCCTGGGAACGTTGGGTTCGGCAGGGCACCAGAAGCGCCCCCCTACTCGCGGGGAATCCCATCTAGGGGCTCCGGAGCGAAGTGGGGTGAGAAGCGCGGTGCTACGGACTGCTACTTTCACGGAGTGAAGCCGCACAGCCATTGCCAGAGAGCGCTGACTTTTTCCTGTGGACAATTGGACTTAAAACAAGTACCCGTGAGTAGAAACGGAAAATTGGATCAAGAAATTGTTTTAATTTGGTATCGAAGCGGGAAGGTGCAAACAGGAAGTCCGCCTTCAGCTTTTTTGTATATAGACTAAAGCAAAAATTTTGCAAGCTAAAGCCGGGAAGCTGTTAAAAAAGGACTAAATTTCCTTCATTTAGAACCACTGAAACCCCCCTTGGAAGCAGGAGAAAAGGGGGGGGGGACTCTGTTTAACCCTAGCAGGAGAGGGAGTGAAGAAGGATAAGTTTCCACCGTCTCTAACCTGGGAACGGGGTGTCAGAGACAGAAACTGTTGCTGAGGTTCATTGACTGTGAACGTAACACTTTGACAGATAGCCAATGAAGAGAAACAAGTTGATTCTAATGTTGCCTTTTGCATCCTAAAGAAACAAAATATCTGAAAAACGTCTGAAATATCTGAAAAATGAAAGTAACTTTCCTTTGTCTTTAAAAAAATAAAATGGATACAAGTAGATTGTCTCCTCTAGAGGGAGCTTGCTAAATTGTTGTTGCAGCATATTTGAGACCAAACATCTATGAGATTAAGACTGTGGGAACAGTCTTTTCTGACCTTGAACAAAGATGAGCTGGGAGAAAGACTGGCTGCTTGCTCTATGCAAGACAAATGATTTGCTGGAACAGATGCATGAAAAGATGGACTTGATGAATGAGAAAATGGATTTGACTGTTGTGGTTAATAACATTGATACAGAAATCATCCAAGAACCAACCTATCAATCTGTACCGACTTGGCAAGTGCAGTTGACAATGGAGGAGGATGTGGCTGCACCTCAAATAGTACAAATGGAGAGACCCGAGGCCCTACAGGAGCATAAGCCGCTGCTATTGAAGATTGAAGTTGGAGTGGGCCAAGGGGAGTCTGGAGATGAGGAGATTCCTAGCTTTGGAGAGATCTTGAAATTTGATTTTAAATTCATTTTGGATTATATCGAGGACTGTGGGGAGTGGGACTGTGGGGAATGGGTGAGCTGGATGAAGGGTGATGGAGACAATTTTGGGTTGGAATCCCCCAGAGACCTACTCCTCAATGAGAAAGGAAAGAAACTAAGACAGAGACCAACAAGAGACAAGGAAAAGGGCAAACACAAACAAGATGAAGAAGAATTGCAGAAGGGACATGGAAGAGATTTAAGGGCCTCGGACATAAGGCTTCCAGGTTGATGGACAATAAGCACTGACATGACCCGAGACCAGGAAGAAGAGACGCTGGATGATGATTGGAAGAGAATTTATAATGGAAACTTTTTTATTTTAGAATCAGCTAATGAATATTAGGGAAAATGTGGGAATGAAACTATACAACTCTAGCAGAAATGATATTAGGAGCTATGTATATTTGAAATTTAAGATTTAAGTCTTAAGGCACTTAGGGGTAAGATAAGGTTAAATAAATTAAGGTAATCTGAATAATAGAATATGGGGAAAGATGGTAAGGATTTGCTGAGTTAATTATTAGGTTAAATTGTTAAGATAGATTTTATAACAAAAATTGAGAAAGATGGAAAGAATTTGCTGAAATAATTACTAAACTAGAACACAAAAACGGAGGTGTGAAGAGGTCAATGAAACAAGCAAATGGAAATTATGGATATGCAATTTGGGATTTGTGTTTTTTTTTGTTTTTTTCCTTCTTTTTTACTTTTTTATTGCTGTATTGTCATATTGGTTTTCACATTTTGTGCTTTTCTCTTTTTTTCTATTGTCTTCTTTTTCTTTTTTCTTTTTTTGTATTGTAGTGTTGGTTTTTATTTTTTATTTTTCTTGTCATTTTGAAATTATCAATAAATATTATTTTTAAAAAAATAAATAAAAGTGAACAGGATTAATTTTTTCCTCCAAACCTAGTTTGTATTTAAGAATGTAAGAAGGGCCTACTCACATCTGACTAAAGGCCCACCTGGTCCAGCATCCTTTTCCCACAGTGGCCAACCAGATGCTTCTGGAAAGCCTGCAGTTGTGACCTGAGCACAACTCCACACTCCCCTCCTGCAGTTTCCAGCAACAGGGCATTCAGAGACATCCTGCCTCCAACAGTGGTGGTAGAACGCAGCCTTATTCTCTGTGACTCTATCTACTTCTTGTGTGAGCAAATGCCATAGTTTAACTATGCACTGTGTGAAAAGGGACTGTCTTTTGCCTGCCTCGGATATTCCAACATTCAGCTTCATCCCCGAGTTCTAGGGGTTTAAAGGGAGAAAAGTTTCTTTCTCCATACACCTCTATCATGCCTCCCTCCCTCCCTTCCCCTTGTTTCTAAACTAAAATGCCCCAATTGCTGCAACCTTTCCTCATATAGGTCTTGTTGCAG